TCAAAAACTGCATTTAATACACCAAACCTACTGAACATCATACCTTAATCTAGTCTACCTCAAACGAGCTTAGAACACTTACATTAGCCTACAGTTGGGAAAAATCATCTAACACAAAGCGTATTTTATAATAAACTGTTGATTATCTCATGATTTATTGAATACTGTACTAAAAATGAAAAACAGAATGGCTGTATGGATACAGAATGGTAGTAAGTGAATCAGTTATTTATCGTTACTAGTGTGGGGCTGACTGAAAGCTACCTAGCATCATGAGAGAGTACTATACCACAAATCATTAGCCTGGGGAAATCAAAATTCAAAATTCGAAGTACAGTGTCTAGTGAGTGCTTATCACTTTTGCACCATTATAAAGCTAAAAGACCATAGGTCAAACCATCATTAAGTTGTAGACCACCTGTATGTTAAGATATCAGTTCTTCCCAACTTAATCTATAGATTCAAAGCAATCCCAATCAAATCTTAGCAAGCTATTCTGTGGATATCAACAAATTGACTCTGAAGTTTATAGGGAGAAAGGCAAAAGACTCAGAATAGCCAACACAATATGAAAGAAGACTGAAGTTGGTGGGACTGACACTATCTGACTTCAAGACAATATAAAGCTACAGTAATAAAGACAGCATGATATTAGAGAAAACACACACAGATTAATATAACAGAATTGAGAGTCCAGAAATAGACCCATACAAATACAGTCAACTGATTTTGACAAGGACTAAGGCAATTTAATGGAAAAAGGATAGTTTTTTCAACAAGTGGGATGGAACAACTGGATCAACATGCAAAAAAAAAATTAGACACAGACCTCACACACATTATAAAAATTAACTCAAAATGGATCCTAGACCTAAGTATAAAATACAAAACTATAAAGTTTCTAGAGAAAACAGGAGAAAATCTACGTGACCTTGGATTTGGCAATGAGTTTTTAAATATAACACCAAAAGCATGATCCATGAAAGAAAAAACTGATAAGCCTGACTTCATTAAAATCAAAAACTTCTGCTCTGTGCAACATACTATTAAGAGAATGAAAAACCAAGCCACAGACTGGGAGAAAATATTTGCAAAACATATATCTGATAAAGGACTTACATCTAAAATATGCAAACAACACTTAAAACTCAACAATAAGAAAAAAAACTCATATAAGAAACAGGCAAAAGATCTGAATAGACACCTCAACAAAGAAGATACACAGATGGCAAAAAACTTATGACAAGATGCTCAACACCATTTGATTCAGGGAATTTCAACTTAAAACAAATTAACATATTAAAATAACAACATATACCACTATACACCTATTAGAATGGCTTAAAAATTTAACTGACAATACTAAGTGCTAACAAGAATGCAAAGCAACAGAACTCTCATTCATTGATGGTGGAAATGCAAAATGGTAGTTACTTTGAAAGACAGTTTGTTACAAAGCTAAATATAGTCTTACCATACAATCATACTCCCAGGTATTTACCCAATTGATTTTAATACTTATGTCCAAAATCTGCACATAAATGTTTATAGCAGCTTTATGCATAATCAACAAAAACTAGAAGCAACCAAAATGTCCTTCAATAGGTGAATGGATAAACTGTGGTACGTCTATGCAGTGAAATATTATTCAGCACTAAAAGGAAATGAATTATCAAGCCACAAAAAGGCACAGAGAAACCTTCATGCATATTGCTAAGTGAAGGAACTCAGCCTAAAAAGATGAGACACTGTATGACTCCGATTACATGCCATTCTGGAAAAGGCAAGACTATAGAGATGGTAAAACAATCAGTGCTTGTCAGGAATTTGGAAGGAAGGGGGAATGGAGGAACAGGTGAAGCACAGAGGGATGTTTAGGGATGTAAAATTCTTCTGCATGATAATGCTACAGTAGATACATGACATTATATATTTCTCAAAACCCATAGACTTTACAGCAAAACAGTGAACCTTAATATGCACAATTGAAGAAAAAATCATCTGCCAGATAGGGGGATCCCAGGAAAAAATGCAAACTGTGACAAGAGAATCTTACCGTATTACAAATGTATGAAATGGCTTCACTGAAGGGAATGGGAGAACAAGGTGCTAACCTAAGTAAATTTGGAAACAAGTGGAGCCTCAAAGGCTGAAGGGAAAGGAACTGCACCTAAGCACTGGGCTCTAGCTGATACGGGGTTTTCTCATGGAATATGGTCTAACCTTTCAGATACTGCTACCTGTGTATGCTGAAATTGAATGACTGAGTAACTGCATGGCACATGGTGGGCGCCTGGTTTCTCACTGTTGGAGTGAAAATTTACAAATGAGCAAGGTAAGGAGGCTAGAATGAGCTATGTAGAAATGGATTAGACTGGAGACAGTATGAACTCATGTTTAGCTTAATACAGATACAGATGGTTACATCAGAAATATTTATAGATGAGTATATATGCCTACGTTACTATTTACACGTTTCTTTGCTCTGGCAGCTAAGAGGATTTAAAAGATATCCTTCGCAACAGCACACCTACCCATGGGGAGTTAAGCTGCCCCAATTTGAAGGTAGGGTATTTACATAAATTGAGCAGTGGCCAGATTGCTGCAGAGCTGGAGACAGGATGGGCAGGGAAGCATCAAAGACAGCACTACAACAGGGGCAAATGTTGCAGGATTGGGAAGAGGGGTCAGGAGTGGTTTGTGCCTATCCACAATGGTACTGATACTCTATAAAAAAGCCACCAGAAGCAGGTCCACTGGCCTGAGGCTGAAGTGCAACCCAAATAGGGTAGAAATTAAGGCATCTCTAGGCAGACTCTCCTAAACTGACCTTTGGCATATTTACTTCTCCCATCCCCATGTGTTCTGAAGGCACAGGATTCAACCTGCGGTATGGGCTATGGGAAGGGCCCTGCATGAAAGTCTGCTCCCATGGCCGGGTAGGGTGTGTAGGTGTGCCGAGAAAGAGCCAGTTTGCTAAGAGGTAAGGAGTACTATGAACCGAGCCTCAAGAGCCTAAGAAGTTAGGTGAGTGGGTGAGGTCATTAGACCCACTGCTGAACAGGCCACAGAAGCTGGCGCCTTCACAGGCTAGAAAAGGGACCTTCTGAAAGGATCAAGATACACCCCTTCAGGGGCTCCAGGACAATTACGAGGCTCAGGTTTTGGACACGGGAAGGTGGGATGCATTAAGACCAGGCGGGTGTTGGCGTGGGACACTGGTGGGTCAAGAAGTGCGGCGCAAGCCGATAAAAAAAGTTTCAGACCAGGAACCATGAACTTGGTTTCTGTACCCAATTCTGCCATTCTCTGCTTTGAGAGTCACTTAGCCTCTCTAAGCCTGTTTTCTCATCTTTATAAACGAGTTTCACATCTTCTTCACATGGTTGTCAGGGAATAGAATGAGACAGCCTTATGTGTCTCAACCAGCGGTTCTCAAAGTGTGATCTGAGGACACTTTGGGGGTTCCCTGAGACCCTTTGAGAGGGTCTTTGAGGTCCTCCCTTTTCCAACTAGTATGTGCATGAGCCTGGAATTTCTTGGTAAGTTTCCTCCAAAACAGCTAATTTAAGATTTATTAAGCTGAAGAGATTCTCAAAAATATAAAAACATGCCACTCATTTTAGAGGGAAAATACAGTTATTTTTCATTAAAGATGCCATTTGTTTTAAATTTAAATGGGGTTGTTATTTTTAAATGAGTATTTCAAATTTTTGTTTGAAAACCCGTAAAAAATCAGCAAATACAAGCAAAAGCTCTTTGAGGTCTTCAATAATTTTTTGGCGTGTAAGGGGGTCCTGAGAGCAGACAGTCTGGGAACCGCTGGGCTGAACCACCAGGTGGAGGATGTTCTTAATCATCAGGTGAGCAGCCTCTCACAGGCTGATTCCAGGTCCCCTTTCATACAACACCCACACGTTCACAGTTTCCACGTATGGGGACGCTAGTTTTGTTTTCTGGGTCTGAGAGATCCAATGTCTGTACCCATTTTCCGGGCGCAAGCAAGCGTCCTCCCACAGGGAGGCACAGACAGTGGC